AAAAAAAAAAAAAAAGAAAAAAAATGTATCTCTTTTGTTTCATGTAGCAAATATCATTCCTTCTCAGCTGATAGAAAAAGTAGAAAGTCAGCAAGAATATTGAAAACTTCAGTAAGCCTGCCAAACAGTTTGATCTGATTGTCATTGTAGTACATTTCTCCTAATAGCAGAATGCATATTCCTTTCAAGTGTGTTTTTACCAAGTGGAAACCATCTGGAAGGCCAGTAGTTCTTTTTTTTCTTTTTTGAGACACTTTCACTCTGCCACCCTAGACTAGAGTGCTGTGGTGTCAGCCTAGTTCACTACAACCTCAAACTCCTAGGTTCAAATGATCCTCTTACCTCAGCCTCTTACATGTAGCTGGGGCTCCAGGCTTGTGCCACCATGCTCTGGGTAATTTTTTTATTTTTAGTGGAGATGGGGTCTTGATCTTGCTTAGGCTAGTTTTGAACTTCTGAGTTCAAGGGATCATCTCACCTCTGCCTCTGAGAATTCTGGGATTATGGGCATTAGCCACGGTGCCCAGCCTCGGCCATCAGTTTCATCAATAAATTTTTTAAAAGATTCAAGTCTGGCCGGGCGCAGTGGCTCACGCCTGTACTCCTAGCACTCTGGGAGGCTGAGGCAGGTAGATTGCTTGAGTTCATGAGTTTGAGACCAGCCTGAGCAAAAGGAAGACCCCGTCTCTACTAAAAATAGAAAAACTGAGGCAAGAAGATCACTTGAGCCCAAGAGTTGGAGGTTGCTGTGAGCTATGATACCATGGTACTCTACCCAGGGCGACGGCTTGAGACCTGGTCTCAAAAAAAAAAATCAATCAGTAAATAAATTCAAGTCATCCCACATGTATAACCTGGCCAAAATAGAATTAAGTTAGAAATTCATAGCAGATATCTGGAAGTCTACAAATAACTGGAAACTAAATCGTGCCTCTTTAACTTGCTTAAGGATTAAAGAAGAAATCAAAAGGAAAATGAGAACGTAACAGTATTTTGAACTAAATGAAAATGGAAGCACAGTATAATGTTAGAATTTCCAGGATGCTGCTGAAAGCAGTGCTTAGAAGAAATGCATAGTACTAAATAACTATGTTAGAAAAAAAGAAAAGGTTGAAACCATTGACCTTAGCTTCTATCTTCAGAAGTCAGAAAAAGAAAAGCAAGTTAAGCCCAGAGTAAACAGAGGAAAGGAAGTGATAAAGATCACCGTAGAAATAAAGTAGAAAATGGGAAAACATCATGGAAAATCAGTGAAATCAAAAGCTGGTAATTGACAAGATCAGTAAAATCGATATGCCTCATCTAAACTCTTAGGAAAAAAAGACATGAATTAACCAGTATAAAGAATTAGAGAGGTGATACATCACTACAGCCTTACAAATATTGGAAAGATAATAAGGGAATATTATGAATACCTTTATAAGATCGACAAGTTAAACAAACAGATCTGTTCCTTGAAAGACACAAAGGATAGTTTTTTCAACAGATGTTTCTAGAATACTTGGCTATCCGTATATATATATGTTTTTTAAATGGTAATTTTCATATTGTATTTATGCATATTTCAGGACAGTGTAATGATTGCTATTTGGTATAGAATTATGAACTAGCTTATGATCATTTTATTTTTTAGGATATCATTTCAATTTAGAAGTCTGAGAAATAAAGTTGGAAAAAATTCACTGTACTTGGATGTTTTAGTTTCTGTGAATTTTTGTTAGGCAAGGAAGAGTATATTGGGATCAGATGTTCCAAACATTTCCTTATTTTCTAGTTCCTATTATTATCTCTGATTTTCTCTTCTGTTTCTTTTTCAGGTTGGGAAGGAGAAAATGCTCAAGGTAAAGATTGTGAAGATTCATCCTTTGGAGAAAGTAGATGAAGAGGCCACTGAGAAAAAATCTGATGGTGCCTGTGATTCTCCATCGAGTGACAAAGAGAATTCCAGTCAAATTGCTCAGGACCATCAGAAGAAGGAGGCAATTGTAAAAGAGGATGAAGGAAGGAGAGAGAGTATTAGTATGTATGATGCTAGCTAGCTTTCCTTAGTGAGTTATGAAACCCTATTTCTTTTTTTTGTGTTCAAGAGACCCTATTTCTTTTATTATAAACTGTTCTTTTAGTGTTATCTAGCAAGTAATGTGTGCTTGAGTTTTTTCAGTGACATGATTTTGTGCATTTAAAATTCAGAAAAACAACTAAAATATCCAGAAAGTGAACCAGGACTTAAGTATTTCTAAACAGTTGAGATCATTTGGAATTCGTTTTGTCTAGTTGCTTAGAAGTCTAATGTCCATTCCTAGGTACTCAAGATGGCAAAGAAAATTTGTTTTCTTTTTTCTTAAAGTAGAAAATACGTAGATATGTGCATTGGGGGGAGTGGTCAAGGTAGGAGAGACAAATTATTTTAATCCCTATTGCTCTTCATGTTGCAAGCCAGTGGGGTGGTTTTAAGATGTAGTTAGTTGACCCTTGAACAGCACAAGTTTAAACTGCATGGGTTTGTAATATGTATGAATTTTTTTCAACGAATATTTTGGAAAATTTTTAAGAGATTTGAAACAATTTGAAGAAACTTGCAAATGAACTGTGTAACCTAGAAATATCAAGATTTATATATGTCATGAATGCATAAAATGTATGTTAATGCTATTTACTAGCATAAAACATATACAAATGTATTATAAAACATTAAACTATCAAAACAGATTACATATGGTGCCATTTGCAGTAGGGAGATAAGAACAAATGCAAAGGTGCAGTATTAAATAACTGCATAAAACTATAGTATATACTGTACTGCTGCAATCATTTCATAGCAACGTTCTGATACTATTTCAGCAAGCTCAAGTATTGCCAGCATCTGCTTAAAACTTCATGTGATGCTAATTACCTCCTAGTGAGCAAGTAGTTCATTTGTCCAATAAATTGCTTATCTAAGTTCTTGCATACTTTTTACTGTGGTTAGTGCAGTACCTTAAACCTTGAATAACTTCAGGGGACCCATACAGAGTGCCACCAGTGATTCTGGAAGTGCTCCCAAGAAGCAGAGAAAGGTCATGTAAATAAATATAAGAAAAAGTTGAATTACTTCATATGTACTGTAGATTGAGGTCTGCTGGTGCAGTTTTCCCATTTCAAGATAAGTGAGTCCAGTGTAAGGATAATTGTAAAAAGAAGAAAAGGAAATTTTCAAAGTTGTTGCCTCAGCCACACTAGCAGGCATGAAAATTTTGTACTTTTGCAAAATACTCTTTATCTTGTATTGAAAATGCAGTTTTTATGTGGGTGCAGGATTCCTATAAGAAAGTTGTGCCTATAGACTACTAAGATTTGAAGAGAAGCAGTCATACAATACCTTAAGGCAAAAAAGAAGGTGAAGGACCTAAAGCTGGAACATTTAATGCCAGCAGTGGATAGTTTGACAATTTTAGGAAGGTTTGGCCTAATGTCAAGATAACAGAGGTAGCTTCTGCCATGCAGTGCATATATGGGGTGGCCGTAAAGTTCAAGTACAATTTAAATTGCACACGAACTTTACGGCCACCCTGTATAATACCTTTAACATACAAAATATGTGTGAGTTGGTATTTTTGATATCAGTTAAGGCTTCCAGTCAACAGTAGGCCATTAGTAAAGCTTTGGAGGAGCTGAAAGTTATATGTGGATTTTATTAGACTGAGGATTGGTGCCCCTAACCCCTGTGCAATTCAAAGGTAAACTGTACATCCTTGTATCTATATTGTGTAATCTAAGGTCCTCTGAATTCTGAAACACCATTGTCTAAAAGTAATTTTTAGGGACCTGCAGACTCTAACAATAATGTTTTAAAATTTGAAGAACTAAAAAAAATATATATATATATAAGTAAATTGAAAAAAACAGATTTGAAGAACTGAGACTTTGCTGGGAAAACTATTCAGCCTATGAGGCCTTCAGTTTTTCAGAAAGTCTGTGTAAATAAGGAATTTGACTGGACTAAATTCCATTTCTCTCCAAAAATATGAGTGTACTGTGTTTGGTGTATATTGATTCCCCTTCTCATGACTATTAAAGGTTAAAATAATTTTTTGCCTCACTATTTAACTTTTATAGACTTTAGGTTGGAATGCTTTAGAATGTTTAGACCAGTGGTTCTCAACCTTCCTAGTGCTGCGACCCTTTAATACAGTTCCTCATGTTGTGGTGACCCCCAACCATAAAATTATTTTCGTTGCTACTTCATAACTGTAATTTTGCTACTGTTATGAATCGTAATGTAAATATCTGATATGCAGGAGACCCCCCCCAAAGGGGTCGCGACCCACAGGTTGAGAACTGCTGGTTTAGACTTTATGTTACTTATTTATTTTTGAGACAGAGTCTCACTATATCGCCCCCGGTAGAATGCTCTAGCATCACAGCTCACAAGCAACCTCAAACTCTTGGGCTTAAGCGATTCTCTTTGCCTCAGCCTTCCAAGTAGCTGGGACTATAGGTGCCCACCACAATGCCCAGCTGTTTTTCGTTGTTCTTGTAGTTGTCATTGTTGTTTTAGCTGGTCCGGGCCGGGTTCAAACTGAGCTACGGGCACCGAGTGGAGTGTTTAGACTTCAGAATGTTATGTTGTCTCTCTCCATTCTCTTTTTTTTTATTTAGTTTTATTGGAGACATACGAGTTTCACTCTGTTGCCCTGGGTTGAGTGCATCATAGCTCATAGCAATCTCCAAACTCCTGAGCTCCATCCATCTTCTTGCCTCAGCCTCCGGAGTAGCTGGGGCTACAGGCATCCACTAGTTTTCTATTTTTAGTACAAAATGGGGTCTCACGTTTGCTCAGGCTTATCTGCAACTCCTGAGCTCAAGTCATCATCCACTCGTCTTGGCCTCTCATAGTGCTAGGATTACAGGCATGAGCCACTGCACCTGGCCTCTCCCATTCTATTTTGTGTCTCCAAATGTTTTGGTCATGCGCAGATGGTTTTAGAGGGACTTCCTTAATATAGTCTGAAGAAAACCTTGAGATATCTTTGTAACTGGCCCACCTCAGTTATTGATCCTTCAGTTTTCTTTTCCACTATTTTATGAATGCTAATGTCTATATTTTCTGATTTTTCTCTTGATGCTGAAATGTTGTAATGTGGGAATTACTTTATAATGCCTTGAAGTTGAGAAATATTTTGGTTAGAATGTTTCAGTTAATTGGCTGATGCTAGTCATCTAACACTTTTTTTCTGGACTCAGATCATTGAAATACCACTTGATATATTACTAGTTTTATACTGGAAGCATTATGTGCTAGGAACTACAAGTTTTAGGGTTTGACTTTTTAGTGGGTTCTGTGCCTAAGTTTAAGTTTTGGGTTATAATATTGTTAGTATTTGGAAAAAGACAGGTAGTAGGTGAGATAAGGAATTAAAGTAATGACATATTCCAGATGTTTTCTGGGGAAATTTCTTCAAATTTCTATAGGAATAGGACAAAATATTATGTATATTGTAATTTGTCTCTTACCAGATGGCCTTACTTTCTATTTTATTGGTTTAAAAAAACCGTTTTGGGCAGGAACTTTTCAGCTTTGTGTTCTTAACCTCCTGTCTATTTCTTTATTCTTCCTCCATCTTAGAAGGGGACTGTCTTTCCTTTAGGCCAAGGCACTTGGGCTTTGGCTCTGTTCTCTTCTTAAGGACTTAAATTTTATTCTACTCTACAGTGTTTTCAACTCTCTCAACTTATGAACAAAGTATCCCCCCCTTTTTTTTTTGAAACAGAATCTCGCCCTGGGTAGGTTGCCATGGTGTTATAGTTCACTGTACCTTAAACTCCTGAGTTCAAATGACTTTCTTGCCTCAGCTTCCTAAGTAGCTGGGACTACACAGGCACCTGCCATAACACCCAGCTAGTTTTTCCTATTTTTAATAGAGCTGGGGTCTTAATCTTGCTCAGGCTGGTCAGGAACTTCTGAGCTCAGGCCATACATCTGCCTCGGCTTCCCAGAGTGCTAGGATTACAGGTGTGAACTGCCTCACCCTTCCCAAAGGCCCATTTTCTAAAGAGAAAATCATCCTCCCTTGATTCTCTTGTTTTTTGTCTTATTCATTCAAGCCAATATTCTTGAGAATGTTATCTCCATTTTCTGACTTTCAATTTATTTCTTATGCTATTGTGGTCTGACGTCTGCCACTTTAATCCTGAAACAGTTTCAAATAAAGTTATAGGTAACCTCCTAATTGCCAGATACAGAGATTTGTTCTTAGTCTGTATTTTAGTTTTCTGTTGCATTTAACACTATTGGTCAATCTCATCTTTTATTTTGATAACAGCTGTCTTCAAGTGTCTTTACCCCCTTAATTCCCCTCCCATTCCTTAGATTTTTTTTTTTT